ATATACATACACACACACGCACACAGACACACACACACACACACATAAAAGTAAAAAGAGGGCAGCACTTCACATACACACAAAGACACACTCACAGTTTAAAGCATAACTGTGTCATTGCTGTAGACAAATAAAAGTTGTAGAGAGTGAACGTAAATGTACTCAGGAATACAAAACAAATACACACTGATTTTTATCCTCCAGTGCAGAGTGGACGGTAATACACACACACGTGTGCACCCAAACACACGGACACACACACACACATTTTCTTTCATCCTTATGCACAGACAAGGTACAACCTATTCGAGAAAACACACTGTACATACACAAACACAAACACACATTAACAACTGAAACACACAGGACTTCATTTTAATTTTGACCTGGAGTTTAACCTCAAAACTGGAAGAAATGAACAGTTTAATAAACTACAAACACACACTTAGCAATGCAAGAGAATACACCCACACATTTACACACACGTGTGCACGCACACACGTACACACAAACACACACACTCATACAGCAATGATTAATACACAACAAAGTTTCCCTAGTACACATGAACACACACATTTACACACAAAAAATACAAACACTCAATAAAATCAGAATTTTGAGTTGTTCAAGCAGATGGAAATATAGGCCTACACATACACACACACACACGCACGCACGCACGCACGCACGCGCACACACACACACACACACACACACACACACACACACACACACACACACACAATGAGTCTATTTATAAAGTTATAATTGCATAACATGCTGTGCTCTAATTCCGGCCTACTGAGCACACAGGATGTCCACACACACTGGATTCACAATGACAACACACACACACACACACACACACACACACACACACACACACACACACCTACTGTTTACACCTCATATTCAGAACACAGTGTACATAGATATGTGCTTGTATATGAAATAAGGTAAGGTAGAGAGAAAATGACACACACATACACACACACAGACGCACACACACACACATCTTTTTTTGTATTAAACGCCAGTATCAATACACAAAAACACAGATTTGCATATTCCCTGCTCCAGGCGTGAGAAGCTTCTCTCTGTAGTTTTAGTCATTTTAATACATTTTCTGAGTCGAGGCGTCATTACATAACACATATATATTTTATAATTTCTGTCATTTAATCCTAAATATTTGTGATATAAAAAAAAAAAATACTATAAGTGATTTTTTGGAAGTTAAAACATCCTCCTCAAATTGCTTTTGATTATTTATATTTTACGTGTCATGGTCAGATTTGATTCTTATTTAAAATACACAAAATGTATAAATACTTAAAAAAAAAATGAGATCAATACTCTTATTGAACCCAATGAAGGATTTTGCTGAAATTCATTTGGACAGTTTGGCTTTGACCTTTGACCCCCTCTCCACTGGCTCATACTGCAGCATGTCGTCCGACCACTAAAGCTCTAAAATGTGAGATTAAAAGGAAAAACTCTTTCTAATAGAAACCTAAATGTATTCAGGTCTTTTCAATAACTGAGGCTGAAATTCATTTGAATAAACATAGGAATATTTTCATTGTACATTAATTTAAAAAGATAGAATAAGAAATATAATTTTATATGCATCTATAATTGGAGCGCATTGACAAAAAGCATAAATCTTATAAAAAAATCATTAATTCTTCTGGCGTCCGGGCTGTTGTTTGTCTCCGAAAAGCAGCACACGCAAAATAAATAGCAGACAAACAGAATCGTCAGTTTAAAGTGTTTAAAGTGTGTGTTTCCTGTAGCTGCACATTGAAAGCGGGCTGCAGGATTTTGGCAGGCGGCTTCAGGACTCTCCTAATTAAAACTTACTGAATATTCAAATGCTGCGTTAGCATAACAATAGCCGGCTGGCCGGGCCGGCTTTAAATGAGGCCTTTTGTTTTAGCCGAGCTTTCTGCTGCCTCATTAAGCCGCTAGAGCTTAAGTTAGTGAGCCGACAGCAGCTAACCGAAGCTCAGGCCTCAGCCCTCACCCTCCTCTCCCCACCTCCACCCTCCCCCACACGCTCCCCGAACCAAAGCCCCGATTCAGCCTCCTCTCAGATCTACTGCTGCAGCAGATCTGTACCAGTGTTTCTGTCTGCTCTCTCAAACCTCCAGCACTTTGCCCCAGTTTCCACTTGCTCTGCCTCCACAACACAGCGACTGGCCTGAATCTGCCGTCACACAACCACAGCATCAGCACCTCAGACCGAGCTGGCTAAAGCCACCAAACAGCTACAAAGACAGGACCAAGGAAGACGAACAGCATGACTTTATTCAGCTGTTTCCTGTATTCGTGTGTTTGCTCGGTGGACGGGTGTAAACGAGCTGTGACACAGACAGACAGAGTGAGACAGGGGGTTAAAGTGAAGATAGAAAGGAGCTTGGCACCGGATCAAGACCGTCGGCACAATGTGCCATCCAGCAGCCAGCCACCAAACAAAGTGGTGGTGCCACGCCGTGCCCCTATAGTATCGCTGAACTAAAGAACTCCGGCTCCGAGAAGAACCGCCGAGATACAAAGAAGGCCCTGAGCTACGGAGAGAGAGTGGGTACAAAAAGCAGAAGGCTCCAGAGCCAGCGGCTGACAGCGTGGGGTTCGGTGGTCGGATGGAGGCTGGAGACCCGACAGGCACCGAGCAGACAGAGGGCGACTGTTGGTGACGGCGGTTTTCAAACAACAGAGGCTCTGTTTACAACCGCCAAAACACAGATTACTGTTAGCTCACGTTTTAAAAGCCTAAAAACTACAAAATACAAGGTTAGAGAAATTCAAATCAACAGTGGATTTTCTGTATTTTCATATATTTGTTAACAGTAATAAAATGGAAATATAGAGGATATTTAAAACACAGATTAAATCCAAGAAAAAAAAGAAAAAAAAAAAATATATATATATATATAAACCACAATAACTAAATCAAATCAGATTCATACAACATAAACAAATCAAGGTCATGGATCTGTAAAAACTACAAAAACTGCACAAATTAAAACATTTTCTGCAAAAATCTAATCATATATTTTCCATACAAAATAAAAGAAACAATAATTTAATGTCTCCATATTGTTTTTTAACAGAAGCTATGGATGAGGGCAAGTTTTCAGAGCTACCGTTTTGTGTCTGATTATTTATCTCAGAGGGCCTTTAAGCTGCAAGTTCAGATTTATTATTATTAATTAAAAATATGTAATTTTATAGTATAATTGTATTATTGCTAATATAATAAGAAAGTTAAAAAAAATTCAGATATAGAATTGATTTATTTCTTTAATGATGATTCCTGCTTTCTTGTCATCACCTTCCCTCCATCTTCGCTGTCATTTCCCCTCTTTATTTCCTCCTTCTTTTCCCTGAAGCAGCAATTAAGAGTCAAAGGTGAGACAAAGACAGACACACAGAGGACAGACAGTTCACTGACAGGTGGATCTGGAGGAAACCCCAGCACTTCCATCTTCATTTGCACCTGCGGCATGCAGACATTCCTGCTTTTACGCGAGAAAACCAGTGAAATTCATTCACCCTCGCTTCCCTTTACACCCTGTTTCTCATTTCAAGCCTTCACTTTACCCCCCCCCCTCTCTCTCTAAATCACTTCACCCTGTTAGTGGTATTTTACAGGTGGGGGTTACTGGAAGACAGACAGAAAGACAGACAGAAAGGTTCACAAGAGGTCAGACAGCTTCATACAAGCCGGATGACTTTCTCAGATGTGTTTTTCTTTTTCTTTCCAGACAGTGTTTTATGATTTTCTTTTATTCTTTTAGAGGCCGATATGATATTTTTGAACAGACAAGAATTATATGTAACTTAACATTGACAGAGAGGAAGATAGATGGGTAGACCTGCAGTGGCTATTCCTTTTCATTTCTATAATTTGCTACATTTATAATATTTTAAAGGAATACAAACAGGCTGAAAAAAAACAGAATTGATGACAGTATATCCCTGATATTAATCTCAACTCTTTACATGTAATTCACTTATTTCCCAGCTTTATCCTTAATGCATTTTTGTGCCCAAAATTATTGATTATAATAAGAAATCACGATCACAATTTGAAGCCAAATTATAGACAGAAAAATCACCAATTTAAGCTTTAACCTTTTTTTTTGGGAGAAATAAAAAAACATAAAGAGCCACAAGTCCCTGAACAAAAACAAACAAATCCCAAAACCACGTGTGCCATCCCGCCTGAGAGCAACAAAAACATTCATTCAATTCAACAATATTGGCTCTTATTTTTGCTACTTTGACGTCCATTTAAAAAAATTAAAAAAATAAGCGACAGAGAGATAAAACTGCGTGGAGGATTATTTTAAGATGAATCTACAAGCGTCTGATGCGCGTTAACCGGCAGACAGAAGCAGACTAAAATGTTAACCTATACTATTTTTTTTCTAATAGCTCAAGTGTAGGTGTAGCGGACACACACACACACACAGACACACAGACACACACACACACACACACACACACACTGTAAACACACATTCCCTCACATTTCAGAGAAGTCTGTCCAACGTATTTATCCAAGCGCTACGGCACACCACCGCAACTACTGTCACTTTCCCCCGCTCCACACACACACACACACACACACACACACACACACACACACACACACACACACACACACACACACACACACTTTTATTCCCCTCGATAAACAACAGCCACCTTTTCCAAAAATAAACCGCGACACACGGACAGAAAAGGCTCACACTCCGTTCGCGCTTTGACGCGCGGCGGCGAACCGCGCTGTTAAGTTGGTGCGTAAAAAGCGACACTCCTCACCTTCACACCTCCTCTCCCTCTCTCTCTCTCACCTCTTTTCTGTCCTCTCTCTCTCTCTCTACCTCTAACACTCTCTCTCTCTCTCTCTATTTCTCCGTCTGACTCCCAAACCGCCGCGGAGGAAGAAAAAGAAACGGCAGGAGGGATGGAAGAGTGTGTCTTACCGCTTTGCCGTTGTAGTAGTACATCAGTGAGCTGCCTGTCATCCCAGGGATGGTGTACGCACAATACATCGTTCCTGTCCTCCGCAGAAAGACGGAAAACTCTATTTCTCCCTTTTTCTCTCCGCGTGTCTCTCTCTCTTTTTTGGTTTTTACGCTCCCCCCGCCCCTTCTCTTTTCTTCTTCTCCACCTTTCTTCTCTTTTTTCCTCTGTTTTAACTTTTTCTGGATTTGTTATGATCTCAAACTCTCGCCGCTCCGTTCGCGTGCTCCTGCCTGCGCGTTTTTTTTCCCCGCCGACAATTCCTTCAGTTGCATTTTCCCATATGGCCGAGCCGAGGCACGCGGAATATGCAAAGTAGGCAGAGAGAGAGAGAGAGGAGTGCCCCTCCCCTTCTCCCTCTCTTTCTCTCTCTCTCTCTCTCTCTCTCTCTCTCACACACACACACACACACACACAAGCGCGCGCGCGGAAAATGTACGGAAAGAGAAAGGCAGGAACGTAACTCACGCGCATATAAACACACACAGACACACACACGCACGCACGCACACACACACGCATGCACGCTCACAGACGGTCGCGGACACGCGCGTGGTCGCCGACACTCTTTCAACTTTCCACAGTAAATCTGGAAGCCATCCCTCCTCCCTCCTCGCGCGGAGCTGCCTTTGAACTGAGCCGAATATTCACTTTTTCCACCGCGCGCTTCTTTCAACACACTCTTCCTTCATTTAACTCCTCGTTTTCTCGTCCTGCTTTTCCCGCTCTCATCCTTTCTCCTCAGCTCCTTTTCTGTTTCCTTTCCTCTCTTCCTCCCTCGTTTAGTCTCCCTCGTTTCCTTCTCTCCCACCTTGTTTAACCCACTCATCTCCTTCGTCCCTTGTTTCCTGCCCTCTCTCCTTCATTGTTTTCATCTCCTTCCTCCACCCTTGCTCCATCCCCTCGTTTCCTCGTTTCCTATTTACTGTCTTCCCTTCTCCTCTCCTTTACTCTCCCTCGTTTCCTTCTCTCCCCCTTGTTTTCTCCTCACATCCCCTTACTCCCGTTTCCTCCCCATCGTTTCCTCCTCTCTCTTTTTGCCTATTTACTCTCCTCCTTCCTACCTTGTCTTCTCCCCCCTCATTTCCTCCCCTACTCACTTGTCGTCTCCTCCCGTCTTTCCCTCCTCTCGTTTCCTCCTCTCCTCTCCTTTCCTCACCTCTCCTCTCCTCTCCTCTCCTCATTTTTCCAAGTTTATTTTTGGAGCAGCTGATAGTAGAAAAGTTGTCTGTGTGGTTTTTGTGGTTTACAGGTGAAAATATGTCTCTCAATTAAAAATCTAAATTTCATTTAAACATTTCATTTTTTTAGATTATAACCTGCACTTTCACTATTTCAATATTTAAAAGCTTTGACAGGATTTTGTAAAACGAGCACTCAAGAAGTCAGATCTTTTATATACATTACAATGATATTGTGTGGATTTACAAGTAAGATGCTATTGCAGTAATGGTGGCTTGTTAACTTTGGCCAAGACCCAAACCAGATTATTATATTCTGTTTGATCATCTTCAGACACAATTTCTAAAGATCTCATTTTCTAAATCTAAATGCAGAAAACACAACCACTTTAAAACAAGTTTGATAAGGTATATTACACACAATACACACAAACAGGTTTGACAGGCTAATGCTAAATAATTTGACCTATCTGCAGCATAAATGTCAAAATATGTCATGTTCTTCTCTACAATCTCATCTCCCTTCCTCTTTCCTCTTTTATATTGATCATTCTTTTTGTCTCCCTCTCCCTCTCCTCTCTTCATCTTTGGGAGATCAGTAAAGCTGGTATTTGTTTTGTATTGGAGTTCCTCTGTGGCCTTTAAGTTAAATCCCCTCATATGTTAAACATGTAATTTAACTCATATGTGGTAGAAGTCGAGTACAGATTAATTAAGATATTGAATTTACAGTAATGAATTAGATTTGATGTATATGTGTTTGTATTCTCAGTGCTGCAAAGGTAAAATTTATTTTCCTATATAAATGTGTAAAGTTTACGATGTATTTTTTCTTGAAAAATTTTTATTTATTTATTTTTTTAAAGGATTCCCAGAACAAAAAAGTGCAGGTTGCTATGACGACCACCTACCAGCAACCACCTGATGGTGGTGGTATAAGTGATAATAAAACACCAAATGTCTGACTGACTGGAGGCTCCATCGGATACAGAAACATAAAGACAGCACAGGTGTTAATTCATCATCATTCATGATGGATTTTAACACAAATATTAAGATCAATTTAAAATCAACTTAAGGAAAGTGTTCAAACTCAAATTGGCCGATAAGAGACACCATAAATATCTCAAAATTGATTGATGGGAATCAATGTTTGCCTAAACTTTTTCTGACACACAATCTTACTGAAATAATGCGCAACTGGCTGCAATTGTTTGGCCTTTTATCTAAATATATTTGTGTTAAAACAATACTATTGTGTGAGGAGCTGCTCAACTGTTTATTTGCAACACGATCACAACATTTGACTCAAACTGGTCAGATGGTGTCGTGAAAATTAAAAGTAAACTTTAAAATACCACAGCGCCTCCATTGTAAGTCTGACTGACACGGGGGTTTGTGTACAGACCCAGAAATACTGACTCCCCAGATTCATTACAACACCAAGCAGGTCTGTCTTGAAGATATTTCTAGTTGCTCAAAATCAGGTTGTTTCAATGAGCTTGAACATTTTTGGATCTGTCTACAGCAAGAGATTTAAAAGATTCTTCTCTTCCAAGAAAGTTTGCTTGACCTGAGGGCTTGTTTACCGCCATCTGAAATCCAAAGCCAGTAGAAAATCAGCAGAACACATCAAATTCCTGCTTCATATTTCACCTACTGTATGTGCCATTGTTGTGCTGCACACACACTGAGACATTATTACGGACATTTCAGGTCTTCTCACTTTAAACTTTGGTTAACGGTGCACCTGCAGTTTAGTATTACACTTCCACAAAGTTGGATCACTCACAACAGACAGAAAAGCAGTAGAGGCCTGACATTTAGTTCCTATGAGTCAGTGTCCAAAAACTGTATCATACATTTCCCATCATGCAACTGAAAAATGTTTTCAATAGACTCTCTCTGCCCTTCAAACAATTGTTGAAAGACACAAGTTTTATATTATAGGCCTAGTCCAATCTCTAAACCTTGATGAACCCAATTTGACATTATCAGTTCTTTTCTCAGAACTGACAAAGTCACAGTTGACATTATACAACAGTTTTCACAGGTCAAGTAGTAGCCTGCTAACCATGACAAGTAAACAGAGATTCACGGGTAACATTGGCGGAATGGCCCTTTAAAAACACACTGAACGAAAGAGAGAGACAGAAAATTAGAGAAGGGAGGGAGGGGGGAGGGGGGCGGGGGAATACAGGCAGTTACCAAAACAGTCAGACAGACAGTGGTTCAGTCTTCCAAATTTCATATTAACATCGTCATCATTCATCCTATTCAAACAAATAATAGACTCCAAAACAAGCAAGCAGACCTCCCAAAACTCTCTCTCTCTCTCTCTCTCTCTCTCTCTCTCTCGCTCTCTCTCCTCTTTCGGCTTTAATTTGATTAAAAAGCGAGCTGCAGGAAGGGGAGGGAGGGCTGATGCACATCTAATAAGTGGACCATCTGTCTGCAGCGCTGGCTGGCTCCCAGCATTGTACCCAACCAGACTGCATGGGAAATGAAGGGAGAGATGGAGAGATGGAGGGAGGGAGGGAAGTAGGAAAGGAGTGCAGGGAAAAAAAAATATAGACCCCAAAAAAGAGTGACCCCGTTGAGGCAAAGAAGCAGAGACAGCATTTTTAATGTTGTCTGACGCTTGCTTGGTCTGCAAACCTGCAGAGGAGATGAAGAAGAATGAAGAGGGGAGGAAAGGGGAAAGAGGAGAGGAAGAAAGAAAGAGTGCTAAAAAGAGAGGAGAGGAGGAAAGAAAAAAGGTGAAGGGGATAAGGAAAGAGGGAGGACAGGACTAATGAGGAGGAGAGGTGATGACAAAACAAAAGAGGGGATAGGATGAGAAGAGAAAACGAGGAAGGAGAGGACAAAAATTAAGGGAGGAAAGGAGAAAAGCTGGGAGGAAACAGAGAGAGAAGAGATGAAATGATAGGGATTGAGCGATCAAAAAGGAAGATGAGAGAGGAAGAGTGGAAGATGGGAGGAATAGGTAGAGGGGGAGAAAAATAGAAAAACAAGACAAGGAGGGAGGAAGGAAGGAGATGAGAGAAAAAGGGAGGGAGGAAAGGAAAGGGAAATCAGGGGAGGAGAGAGGAGAGTGGAGGAAAGGGAAGTGTAGAGGGGAGGGTGTAGGTGAGAAGGTGAGGGAGGACAAGGAGAGACTATGAGAGCTGAGTGTTCATTTCTTTTTTGAAAACTCATTCACACTGACCTTTGACCTTAAGGTAGTTCAGTCTATTCCAAGCACCTGCAGCCACGAGTTCCACATCGCCTCACTATTTAAGGTGGACCGGAGACATTTAACAAACCACCAGCCTCAAACCGCCTTAACTTTATTTACTCTTTTAACTTATAAATATTTTATACCTAACCAAAACACAGAGGTCAGAGGTCAAAGGCCACAGCTCTTCTTTATCCTCCCTCACCTCCTGCTTTATCCTCTTTCTTTCTTCATCTCTTCTCTTTCCTTTTTGTTTTATCTTTCCTTCTCCCTCTCCTCACTCTCTTCTTGTTCCTCTTCCAACAACCTCCCTAACCCCCCCATCCTACTACTCTTCATCTCTTCTTCCTCTTACCACTCAAGCTCCTTCCCCTTTCTCTCCCCCATCCTCCTGTTCCTCTCCCTCAACACCCTCCCTACATCTCTATTTCCTACTTCCCAACCCTTCCTTCCTCCCTAGCTCACACTTCCTCCCTTCATACTCCCTTTTAAAATTCCATACCCCCTCCAGTTTTTCTCCTCTTCCTCCTTTTTCCTCCTCCTCCCTTTTACTTTGTCACCCTTTTCTTCCTCCATTCGTTCTCCCCCTCCTCTCCTCCTCCTCCTCCCTCTCTCTGGTGGTTGAGATGACAGTTAATTCATGGTTGAATTATAATCTCACATTTCATCCTGATTTCACACTGA